TCCCCAAGATTCCAAACTAATCAAAGTAGAAATCATCTTTCCTTTCCCTATACTTTCTGCAATTCAATTTTCTTCTCCCCATTTGCACTGCTTTTTCACTTCATATCAAGTACTTAAATAAACATCGATCACCTGTTAATTTTTGTTGCTGTTTTGCTTTAATTCCAGTACTGGGGGTTTGAGCTCTTCCTTAACTATTTTGCTTAAGGATGGTGCTCTACCACTTGAGCCACAGCTCAATTTCCAGCTTTTTGGAGGTTAACTGGAGATGACTCTCACAAGACTTTACTGCCCCAGATGGTTCACTGTCCCGGGTGGCTTTCAAACAACAATGCTCAGATCTCAGCCCCAGGAGTAGCTAAGATTACAGGCATGACCTACCAGCACCCAGCCCCTTGTTAATTTAACCTGAACTTCTATTTAAAATCTGCTATACTCCCAAAAGTTATACACCATGCTTTAATTAATCACCCATTTTATTTAATGTGGTGTACTCCATAAATGACCAACATTTTAAACTTATAAACTCAATCAGGACAAAATTATCCTCTCCCCCCACCTTTCCCCTTCTCTTTCTCTCCCCTCTCTCTCAAATCCCCTCCATCCCTTTCTCTCCCTCTCCCTTCCTTTATCCCCCTCCCCCTGCCATACTGGGGCTTGAACTCGGAGCCTGGGCATTGTCTCTGAGCTCTTTTCTGTCCATCATGGGCTTGAACTCTGGACCTGGGCACCATCTCTCAGCTCTTCAGCTCAAGGCGAGTACTCTACCACTAGAGCCTCAGCGCCACTTCGGTTTTCTGGTGGTTTACTGGAGGTAAGAGTCTCATAGATTTTCCTGCCTGGGCTGACTTTGAACTGCGATCCTGAGATCTCTGCCTCCTGAGCATGCAGAATTATACATGAGTCACCAGCGCCCAGTTAATGCTCTACTTCTTTATAATTATTCTCCTTCTTAGGCCTATTAATATAAGCATATACAGTCTTACAGGGAAAAGTGAATTTGTATAAAGTTCTTAGAACTGTTAAAATTAATCCTAATCTACTGCCCTTTGCTTAGCAAATGCTCAGAGATGTTGATTTGAGACAGAGAATACCTAACATTTTACTTCAGTATATATGTCACCACTATTTAATAGAACTACAGAGTAAATTTTCATGTAAAATTTAACAAACTATCCCAATTATACCATGAAACTACATCAAATTACCGAGGCTGTGATTTTTTCTAGATGTCAGTATCATTACTGCTTTCAAAGATATTGTCATAGATGAATTCTGATACTTCTTTAATCAACATGTAAAGATACAAAATTAGTCATATTTCACATCCATTAGCGAGTAATTCTGTCAAATATTTCTCTTTTTTGGATAACACTGGGAACAGAAATCAGGGTCGCACGCTTATTAGATAATTGCTCTACCACTTGAGCCTCGCCTCCTGCCCCTATTTCCATTGTTACTTTCAGGTAGGATCTCAATTTATATTCTCACTAAAATCCTCCTAGTTGTGATTCCTGGAGTCACTGGAGATGAGAGCCATTTCACTCATCACTGTACCCAACCACTGTGCTTCCCCTGTATCTGGGACAGCATTGGTTCAGATGGCATCTGGAAACTTTTATGCCCAACTGACTTCAAATGACAATCCCCTGAATTATGCCTTCCAGGTACCTAGGATTACAGCTTTGAGCCACTGTGCCTGGCTAAAAGTATTTCTAAACATCCCATTTGTGTTCCATCAGAATAACACATAAAGGTGCCTTTTCCTAAAGCAAAACTAAATACAGATTTTATTCATGAAGCTGAGGTTAATTGCCAAAGATACTCAACATTTCCCTTCGTTCATAACTATTCACTAAATAAATTTGCACTAATGATATTAACACGAACCTCTCACCAAGCAATTGAAGAACTGTCCCTCAGTTCTTCAGCTCAAGGCTAATGCTCTACTACTTGAGCCACAGCACCACTTCCGGTTTTCAGGTGTTTTATTGGATTTAAGAGTCCCTCAGACTTTCCTGCCTGGGCTGGCTTTGAACCATGATCCTCAGATCTCAGTTTCCTGAGTAGCTAGGATTACAGGCGAGAGCCACCTGTGACCTGCTTTGTCCCTGAGCTTTTTTGCTCAAGGAGAGTGTTCTACTACTTGAGCCACAGCTCTACTTCTGCTCTTTTTTTTTTGCCCAAGCTGTCTTCAAACTTCAGTCCTCTAGTCTCAGCCTCCTGAGTTGCTAGGATTATAGGCATGAGATATAAGTGCCCACCTCCTAAGATGTATTTTCATATTAAATACAAATATAATCTACAATTGTCAAAATGATTGTCCCTTTAGTCTCATTTACTGATTCCATAACTTACTAATATATAAAGCAAAAGAAAATTCAGAAAAGATTAAGAAATGTATCATCTCAATTAAAATGTTTTATGGAAAAGAGTAGGATAAACCAAAACTATCTTTGTAACAAATCAATCTAAAATGTGAAAACTAAATAAGGAAGTCTATGTTTTCACACACAAAATCCAAGATGTTTGATTACAAAATCTGAGTTTTATGCATAATTTGTTTCTAAACAAAGTGTTTTCCTGTACCTAAAATGCACAAAATAAATAGCTTCAAACTGCTAAACTTTACAAGGCTACCTAAAAAATTATTTCCCTTTCTTAAGCTGCTCCAACACTTTTTCTACAATCAACGTAATCATGAGTAAAAAGTAGTGAAATACAAATTTGCATTAGAGTTAACATTCAATTTTCCTCAAAAAGTGCTTAACATCTACAATTCATCATCTTCTGAAACCTTTGTGGTCTATTTTGTCTGTATATACCATAATCAAGTACCTTACTAGTTTTTGGTCTGAGATGGGGACTCAAACTTGGTACCTGATGCTTTCGTTCATTGTCTAGCACTGTTCCAACTGAGTCATGCATCTAACTCAGTTTTTATTCATGGTGTCAGTACTGAGGCTGGAAGGCCTGGCCTCAAGTTCTCATTTTGCTTTTCCCACTGATAGTTAGCACTCTGCCACTTGAGACACACCTCTGGTTCTGGCTTTTTGTTGGTTAACTTGTTAGATTTGTTGCTTTATCTGTTCTGCCTGGCTTTAAGCCTCTATCCTGAGAAGCTAGGATTATGACATGAGCCACAGGTACTGGGCTGTTGTCACTTCTTTCAAAGAAAGTATATATATTCCCATTTCCATGTGTCATTGTTTGAGGCAATAAACAGCCCTGTGACTATCCAAATCAAGAGAATATTTCATATGAACCAGCCATTTCACTTACTGAAATCACTATTCAACATGTTATTCATAATTTATACTACTTTTCAGATACTAAGAGCTATACATGCATTCTTTCATTTAATCATCAAGATCACTGGATGTAGTCATTTGCATCTGTAATTCTGGTATTTGAAAGGATATCAAGAGGATCAAAGTTTGAAGCTAATCTCTTAAATTCAGGAGATCTCATCTCAACCAATAAAGTGTTACACAGTCCAGGCCAACAGCCATAAATGTGAAACCCTGTTCAAAAAATAACAAAAGCAAAGCCGGGTGCCAGCAGCTCACACCTGTAATCCTAGCTACTCAGGAGGCTGAGATCTGAGGGTCATGGTTCAAAGCCAGCCCAGGTGGGAAAAGCCGTGGAACTCTTATCTGCAATAAACTACCTGAAAATCGGAAGTGCTGCTGTGGCTCAAGTGGTAGAGTACTAGCCTTGAGCTGAAGAGCTGAGGGACAGTGTGCCCAGGCCCAGAGTTCAGGCCCCATGACTGGACCCCCCACCCCCCAAAAAAAGGATAGTGCCCAGGCCCATAGTTCAAACCCCAGGACCAGCAGGTGGGGAGGGATAGGCGGGAGATACTAGGTGTTGATAATTATTTACATATGTCAGCTTGACTGGGCTATGTTTGGTCAACCTTATTCTGCGTGTTTCTGTGAGCATGAGTTGAACATTTAAATCAAGAGATTTAGTCTCAGTGGTAGAGTGCTTGCCTCGCATACATGAGGGCCCTGAGTTTGATTCCTTAGCACCACATAAACAGAAAAAAAGCCAGAAGTGGTGCTATGGCTCAATTGGTAGAGTACTCTCCTTGAGCTGAAGAGCTGAGGGACAGTGCCCAGGCCCAGAGTTCAAGCCCCACGACCGACAAAAAAAAAAAAAAAGAAAGAAAGAAAAAAGGTATCATCTCCTTCTGCTTGTCTTTAAGCTGAGAAATCAGTTCTTTACTGACTTTTGACTCTATTTTTACAAGCCTTCAGACAAGAAGTGTACCCAAAAGGATATCCTGGTTCTCAAGTCTTCAAAATAAGAGTAATCTCTATATGATCAGTCCTCTCCCTTCTCCCCCCACCCCAAGTATTTACCTTATTGGCACATGTCAGCAATTGTGTTGATTCTGTTTCTTTGGAGAACTCTAATATTCTTTCTTTTTTTTTTTTTTTTTTGGTCGGCCATGGTGCTTGAACTCTGGGCCTGGGCACTGTCCCTCAGCTCTTCAGCTCAAGGCGAGGGTTCTACCACTTGAGCTACAGCGCCACTTCCGGTTTTCTGGTGGTTTATTGGAGATAGGAGTCTCACGGTTTCTCCTGCCCGGAGTGGCTTTGAACCTCGATCCTCAGCCTCCTGAGTAGCTAGGATTACAGGCGTGAGCCACCAGCGCCCGGCTCTAATATTCTTTTAAAAGTTACAAATTTGTTGAAGCAAAGTTTAAAATTTACAAATGTGCTTGTGAAAAACGTACTGAAAACTCCTACTTAATAGAAATTTCAGAAGTATCCAGTCTTCTTTAGGGGTTAAAGATGATACTTCTGTTTGGATATGAAGACAGTCTTTATCTTCATACTGCTTATATAAATCCTAAGTGGGTGTAACTGTCATTCTATTCTTTTCACTTTTGGACTGTGACATTTCTGAACCAACTGTCATCTTTTGCAAGTTTTTCACTCCAAATATAAGAATTTTGTGTTGACTTTAGAAGGTGTCCAGTGTGCTTTGTTCTAAAGGACATTTTGTAATCTTGCTCTTATTTCCCATCTGTTAAAAAAAAAACTGTTTATTTTTTTCATGTACTGCTGTCTTGGAAAAATAAACTTTTGTGGTTGTCATTGTTGTTTGAGACAGGGTCTCATTATGCAGCCCAAGCTGGCCTAGAACTCCTAATACTTTACCTCTGCCTTTAGAGTGCTGCGATTAAGACGTGTACTACACCCTAACGATTTTCTCTTATCTTGACGTTGTAACTACCCACAACTGTAGCTTGTCCATAACCTCAATTTCAATTATTGAAAGACTATCATCTAATTTTTTTCCAACTCACTTCCTCCCATATCCCAATTCCAACAATCTTCATCTGGACTAGGGTGTGTAATCTGTTGATACTACATTTCTCTGGCTCCCATTTCCCTTCTTAACAATCTTAAACCTTATTTTTCCATTTTTTGCTTTGTTTTCTGTCACAAATACTTAGCAAATCCCATCTCTGGCAAGACAACTTTACAACTCTGTAACTTCACCTGCAGAGAAAAATAGCCATGCTAACTGGTTTCACTTAAACTTATAACCAAGAACATAAGCAAACAGAGAACCAATACACATTACACATGAAATCTATCATAATACTAAATTTTATGCATCTGAAAACTGACAGCAGAAAGCACGGATGTCTTTTGACTTTACTTGGCTAAAATGAATTTGAAGAAGTGGGGAAAACAGCTTTTTCAATGTATCTAAATATCACTTTATTTCAAGTAAATAATATTGCTAAATATCATAAATTTTATGTAGGAATTTTGAAGTCAATATTTTAGATTTCCAGTTACACAGCATACCATATAGAGATAATATTATCTTGGTTTTTCCATCCAGCAGTTCAGTTTCCAACTTTAAACCATCTCTGCAACATGAAAAAAGGTGTGTCATTATTAAGAAAGAGCAATGTTTTAAATAGCCTGAACTTTGAAAGTATATCTATTCCTTTGAAAATATAGGATAGGAATATTGTACATATCAGAACAGTCTTTTAATTTAAAATGTTTTTCACTCCACAGGAAAACTACAGGGAGGAAAAATTTTCTTAAAAACTTTCAATAGGGACTGGGAGGTGGCTCAGTGGTAGAGCGCTTGCCTTGCATGAATAAGGCCCTAGGTTCCATTGCTCAGCACCACATAAGCAAAAAGAAAAAAGCCGGAAGTGGTGCTGTGGCTCAAGTGGTAGAGCACTAGCCTTGAGCTGAAGAGCTGAGGGACAGCGCCAGGCCCAGAGTACAGGCCCCATGACTGGACCCCCAAAAAAATTTAAAAAAAAAAAACAACTTTTCAATAATCCAAGAATTTGTCATCTTCAAAATGCAATCTCATTTTTATAGTTGGTAAGCAATAATTAGTTATCATACTATTTTTCTGGATCAGTTGTGGGGTTTGAATTCAGTCCCTGGACACTGTACCTGAGTTTATTCACACAAAGCTAGCAATCTTTGAGCTACACTTCCGGTTTTCTGGGTTAATTAGAAATGAGTCTCATGGACTTTCTAGGCTGGCTTTGAACTGCAATCCTCAGATCTCAGCCTCCTGAGAAGCTAGGATTACAGGAATGAGCCACCAGCAACAGGTTCCATACTATCCTTTAACTTGTAGCTCTAGACTGAAAATAAAAAATAATGCTGTTACTAAAACTCTTCAAGTAGGTAATGGAACAAGGCAGATCTAGCTAACATTTATTGGTTTCATAATGATCTCTCTTGGCTAACATTCTGTGGAGTCCTGAAAATGATTGCTAATGTCACAAAGTTTTAGTTTTTGAGTATAGAGTTCCACTTTAAAAAGATATTTTTAATAATACATATTCACATTTACTAACTCTTTTGCTACTATCACGACAATACACATTGGCTACTATGATAGATCAATGCCAAAAGCATGAGCATAAAAAATGGTGGGTACTACCAACAACACTTGTGCACCTGCTACAGTCCTACACAAAAATTACACTAGAAATAAAAGTAGCATATTGTTAAAAAAAAAAAAAAAAGTGGAGGAAAAAAAAATGTGCCAACACTATTTTGAGACAAAAGGCAGATAGAAAACCAAATCCAGTCTCAAAAGAGAAGGGCTGGGAAAGGTCAGATTACAAAAGCGAAATTTACAGCTTTGCCCAGGTAGAGAATACAAATTTTACCTCAGTATTTGTGGGTTGTTTTTTTTTTTTTTTTTTGGTCGGTCGTGGGGCTTGAACTCTGCACTTGTGCACTGTCCCTGAGCTCTTCAGCTCAAGGCGAGCGCTCTATTGCTTGAGCCACAGCACCACTTCCGGTGTTCTAGTGGTTAATTGGAGATAAGAGTCTCACGGGCTTTCCTGCACGGGCTGGCTTTGAACCGCATCCTCAGGTCTCAGCCTCCTGAGGAGCTTGGATTACAGGCCTGAGCAACCGGCGTCCGGCTTACCTCAGTATTTGTTTATGGTAACCGACGCTAAAAGCTCATACCAGTAATCCTAGCCATTCAGAGGGTTTACATCTGAGAATCACGGTTCGAAGCCAGCTCAAGCAGGAAAGTCTGCGAGACTCTTATACCAATTAACAAGCAAAAAAACCCAGAAGTGAAACTGTGGCTCGAGTGGTAGAGTGGCAGCCTTGCTCTAAAAATCTAAAGGGCAACTCCCAGGTCTGAACTCAACATCCTAGTACCAGCACCAAAAAAGAATAAAAATTAAAAAATTAAAGGTACTACACAGGAAAAAAGGAAGGAATTAGAAGTGTTTCTGTGGGGCAGATCCTGTTTGTGCTGGTGAAACTTAACCAAACAAAAAGAGATGTTGCCTGAAACTCCTCTCAATTCTGCACTTCACTGAGGCGTGGACTGATTTACAAATCCCTGATTGAACAGCACAGCATTCGTTCATCTGCTGCACCCGCGCGGTGAGGTCGGGTTGGTGGTTCGCAGGGATCCGCAGCGAGGCCGCTAGAGGCTGGGCGCTGTTAACTCCCGCCGGGACTCCCACGCACCAGTGCTAAGCTCCTCACCACAAGGTGAGCGAGGAGCGGGGGTCCGGGCCGGCTTCCTCCCCGCGAGGCCGCCAAGCTCGCCTCTCCCGCTGCCCCTCTCCTCCCGCTGTGTCAGCGGCGAATAACGGCACAGAAAGCGGCTCCGCGACAGCTCCCAGCAGAGGCGGGAAGGAAGCACGCGGCCTGCGGGGTGGGGAGACCGAGCGCCCTCCCCACTCCCCTCAACCCCCCCCCCCCCGCCCCCCCCCCCCCGCCTCGCCACCGTGGGAGCTAGGCCCGGGGCGCCGGCGCCGAAAACCACCCAGCACCAACCTAGCCCCACTCGCGACCACCCTCTGCGCCCCGACGTACCCCAAATGCATGGCCTGACCGCCGATTCTCTTTGCGGGTCTTGTGGTGTTCTACGGGGGCCGGCTCAGCTCAACGGGCGCTATTCCGATTGGATGAGGGAGGGCTGGCGAGCTAGGAGAGAGGGCCAATCAGAATGGAGGATGCGGGTGGGTTGTTGGGGGGGGGGGGGATGGGGGGAATTCCCTGGAGATGTTGGGAGACCTTTGCCCTGGAAGGGGAACCCGGTGGACCGGGCTGAGCGGGCAGTTGAGACCTCTGCTTGTGGCAGTTGCCTGCATTCAGTGAATACCTCAGCTTGAGTGGAGTTGCTAAAACTGGGAGGAACAAAAACTGTAAATGCTTTCATTTACATTCCTTATGCCATATGTTATCTTTGCAAGACTTATTTTAGTTCAACAACCACAACACAATGAGGCATATGGTGGGTGTGTGTCCTGCTGTGAACCTGACTCAAGCTGGACACATTGTAGCTCTTTTAAAGTACTGTTGCAAGAGGTTGAGGAGAAGGTTGGAAGGGATGACATGATCAAGATGCACTGTACTCAAATTGCTATGCTGAATTGAAACCCCTTTGTGTAATTAAGGATAAAGGAATGTTTTAGCAGTAATCACAAGTGCTCAATAAATATAGGTGTTTGTGCACATGCACCAGACACACATCTAAGTGCTTATGGCTACGACTTAAGCCTTTATAACATCTCTGTGTCACAAGGAGGTTAAGTAACTTGCCTATGGCTACTGTCCATGGAACAATTTAACACCAGAGTCTATGTCTCCATCCAGTGTTGTGTGAGTGTGACTCATTGTAAAAATTACTTCCTTCAGGAATCCCTTCTGAAATATACGACTTGGGTAGATTATGGAAGTAGAGCAGTGACTCAACTGCTACAGATCGAGTCTTAAGTGAAAAAGTGCAGGGACAGTGCCTAAACACTGAGTTCAAGTCACAGAACCAGCAGAAAACAAAAACCAAAAATCTTGTGAAAGGATCCTTCATGTCCATTCCAGGGGACCACCGGAGGCAAGTAGGCACAGGGGAAAGATTATAAGGTTTAATGGAGGAGCCATATTTCCCCTCAGAGGAAGCACATAGCCACTGTCCCTATCCAAGTAGCAGGAGGGTCTGGGGACAGGAAGGGAGTTAGGTGGGGGCTCAGGTGGGTCTGAGCGGAGAGAGGGAGTGGCCAGCTCTAGGGCAGGAACTCCAGGGCAGGGAGGAGCTCAGGTATGGGTGGAGCTGAGGCCCAAAGGTGGTCATAATGCTAACATTTCCCCACTTTGTTGTTTAATAAAAATAGTGCTACCAGGCTGGTGGTATAGGTGGAAGTTGTTTCTTCTATAGCTACTTCCTGCTATAAAGGGGCAAAGTAGGGGTTCCTGCTTTGTTGTTGGGCCGGAACCGTCCAAGAAGCATCTGCTTGACAGTTTGGTTGGTAAAGGTCCTCTTTTTCCATGACAATAGTTATTTGAATTCCAAGACACAATAAAAGCCAAAATTGTTGTTAAAGTAAAAATTGCTGTTAGTGGCCCAAGAGAGGAATAAGCCAGGGAGGGATTGATTCCCAGAAGGAGCTATCAAAGACCTGAAATTGTCTTTTTTGTCTTGGATTGGAGACATAGCATGTACCTGACTCCCAGTCATCCTGGTGGGGGGAGTAAGACCTTTTCTACTTTAGGATCACACTAACCTGAGGAGGAGGTAGCAGAGATATTTAAAAGTTCCAGAGCCAACAGGTGTCATGGGCTCTTTTGGGTACTTCCTGATGGCCTGGGGGCATCAAGGAGTCCCTGGAGCTGGGGTCTTTAGGGTCCCAGTCTAGGCTGAGCAAGGCAGAGCAGTGCAAGTGATGTCTCTGGTTGCCTGTAGTAACAGGATGGCTTTGACTTGTTCCCAGGTGATGTCCTGGGTGGGGGATTGTTCTCCTGTTAAAAGAAACTTTTGGAAAGGCTAGACAAAAAAGCTGACAAAGTGACAAGGTCAGTTAACATGAATGACATAGGCGAACATACACTGGCCGTGGGCCAGGAAAGTTCCATTTGGAGCATAAGCTCAGTTGTGGCCCATTACAGGGAAGGAAGAATAACTGGACTCCAGGCAGGAAGGGGGTGTCTAGAGTCTTTTGGGCAACTGGGTAGGGGAGGCATAATGGACTAGTTGGGAGTACCAGTCAGAGACTACTATAAATACAAATAGCAGGTGGCAGAGGCAAGACTGTAACTTTCTGTCCAGTTAGCAGGTAGACAGGTATGGACATTGGATGGACAGGCAACTCTTTTTCTTATCTCCTGGCTCTGATTAATTTTGAAAGGATGAGTGTAAAGTGAATCTATTTAGGATATTATGTCCCCTTACTCCTCTCCATGATTTTCTGTTGTCAGGACTGACTTTGTCTTTGCTGTGTGTGTGTGGGTGGGGGGTGTGTGGGGGGGGAAGGAGGGTCCTCAGCATCCATTGCTAGGATACCTTGTCCCAGTTGGTATCTATCAGGTTTGGATTCAAGGCTTGGGCATTGTCCTTGAACACTTTTGCTGGAGGCTAGTGCTCTACCACTTAGTCACACCACTTTTAGCCTTCGGTTGGATACTGAGAGGTAAGAGTTTCCAGCCATGCCTCCAGTCTGGCTCGTTGCTGATTAGCTGGGAGATGGAGTTTTAGAGAGATTGTGCCTGGGATGACATTGAACTGTGGCAAAAGGCGTCTTTGTCACAAAAGCCCTTTTTATTTCCAATTAAAGCAACAAGGAGATCAATAGAGATAGAGGTGACCTATAACTTGTTAACAATTGACTAACAATTACTTATCAGAGTTTTGTAATAACAAAACCCAGTAGATATTTTTTCAACTGAAACTTATTGACAGTCTAAATACCACCCATTGCCTCTGGGCAGCCTGCTTAAAGTGGCTTATCAACAACATTTCACTTTTAACAAATGTACAGACTTTTTCTTGAGCTACAGCAGTGTAGCCTGTTTAGCACATAATCTCAGTTCTACAAACTGTTTCCTTACCAAATGAATTTATGTGACTGGAGTCAGCTCAAGTCACTGCCAATTAGGACTTTGAACAGATACAAGGAGTTTGGGACTAAAATTATCCCTCACATTTTACAACCTTAGCTTTGACTACCCACTCTCACAGATGACTGACACGTTCCTGCCCAGTTAGACATGGGCATTAGGCATGCTTACAGACTATCTTCCCATGACATCCTGGCTCTGATCAATTTTTGAAGGTCCAAGCATAAATGACTCCAGGATCTGACACCATTTTTGCCATCAGATGTGCTAACGTTGCTGGGGTCCCTGGAGTACCTTTCTCCATGCTAAGATAAATGCATCTTTGTCAATCTCCTCAGTCAGTTGCTAGACTTGAACTCAGGGTTTGAGCACTGTCCCTCAGTTCTCCAGCTCAAGGCTAGCACTCTGCCACTTGGAGCTGCAAAGCAACTCCACTTTGGTCCTCAGCTCCACCCATTCCTGAGCTCTACCCTGCCCTGGAGTTCCTGCCCTACAGTTGGCCACTCCCTCTTTCTGCCCAGACCCACTGGAGCACCCACCTAACTTCCTGTCCCCAGATCTTCCTGCTACCTGGACAGGGAGGTGCCATGTGCTCCCTCTGGGGGGAAATATGGCTCCTCTAATATACCTTACAATAACCTTTCTCCTGTGCCTGCTTGCCTCTGGGTGGTCCCCTGGGATGGCTGTGAGGGGTCCTTTCATTGGATTGGTTCCCTGTGGGTTTGCTCCCCCCTCCACTTTGAATAGGGGTCTGACCAGCTTCCCCAGGACCTAGCCTGAGGTCCTACACTCCTGTCGCCAGAGAACCACCAAGGTAACTTTCTCCTGACCTAGCACTCTACCTGCTGCCCATCAACACTGGCTAATTAAGTCCTGTCCCAGGTTTCTGATTTCTGTATTTCCATAGTAAGGCCACCTGGGCCTTCAACACTGGCTAAATAAATCCTGCCCCAGGTTTCTGATTTCTGTATTTCCATAGTAAGGCCACCTGAGCCACTGACCGCCCCCCCCCTACCCCCACACCCCCGACTGACAGAAATCTTGGCCAAGTACTCAGAACTCACCACTAAGGCATACCGTGGCCAAGGGCCCCGTGGAGAAAATGTGTCCACGTTTCCCATTGGCCCCCACCCCACCCTGTTACCAGCCAAATTGCATTGCTGAGGATGCTCTGAGAAAGCTTTTGGTTCCAGATCACTTACTCCTATTGCTTCCTCTAATGTTTTCAGGGTGTCTGCTTTGACGTTGAGGGCTTGGATCCATTTGGAGTTGATTCTGGTGTAGGGTGATACATAAGGCTCTAGGTTTAGTTTTCTGCAGGGTGATTAACCAATTTTGCCAGCACCATTTACTGGAGAGGCTGTCTTTCTTACATTCTATTTTTTGGCTCCCTTATCAAAGATTAGGTGGCTATGGGTCTGCATGCTCATTTCTGGGTCTTCGTTGCTATTCCATTGGTCCTCGTGTCTGTTCTTGTGCCAGATTACTATGGCTTTGTAGTAGAGTTAGAAATTTGGTACTGGTATTCCTCCAGCGCTGGTATTCCTCCAGCGCTGTTCTTGCTGCTAAGGATTGTTTATGCTATTCAGCATCTTTTACTGTTTCATATGATTTCTTGGACTAGTTCTATTTCCATGAAAAATTGGGTTGGGTAATTGATAGGTATCACATCGAATATGTACCTAGCCTTTGGAAGTATTGCCATTTTCACTACGTTAATCCTCCCAATCCAGTAGATGGGAGGTTGTTCCACGTCCTGATTTCTGCTTTGATTTCCTTTTTCAGATTTGTAAAGTTTCCATTGTAGAGGTCATTCACTTCTTAGTTACCTCCTAGGAATTGGGGCCATTACCAAAGGAGTAGCTTTCCTGATTTCATCCAAACTCTTCTCCTTGTTGGCATACAGAAAAGCCATTGCTTTTCTACCCTGCTACTTTGCCAAAGTTTTGAATCAGCTCAAGTATTTTGGAAGTGGAGTCGATCAGCTTCTTTGTCTTTCTGAAGAGTTTCTCTTGTATCCTCTGAGTGTGTCTCTGGGTGAAAT